TTCTAAATATCTCAATCTAGGTACCATCTACATTACAGGGCCCATTTTCAGCTCGAGCAGAAATGCGTCTCAGAAAGAGCCCCAAACTGTCACCAGTACTTTATTTTACAATAAAGCACGTTCTGTCTTCACTACCTCTCCATGAGTCACGGTGTTTTCTTGCTTATTTTCTGTGATGCCGAACTGCTCCTACCTGTGGTCACATGACTTCCTCCCCCTCGTTCTTCCATCTTTCCCTTTTCTTCTAATGTCATGACATTTTCTGACCAATCAAAGCAAACCTCAGAGTTGATAAAGACGTGATTCAGGTTAAAATGTCCCTTCAAACTGTGCTTTGCCGATTCTTAACAGGGATTTCCCAGATGTTCCACACCCACACATCTTCAGGTTAAATCCCCCTGACCTCGGTCTCAGATCCCCCCCCACACCTGCACACGTTTCAGATATCATTACAAATGTTTGGAGGAAGAAATGGTCTAACGTAATTGGTAAAATACAACAAGTCAGGGTACGTCAACAACCATTTTTCATCCGACAAACAGGTCCTTTGCAGCAGCCTACTTTGTTTTGTGCTATTTCTTAAATAATCACAACACTGTTCTTTAAAAGCCTTCATCGCACCAAAGTGAGAATACAAAAATTACAACTAAATCTACATGAAACCTTGCATCCACTGTTGGAGAAAAAGTAAGCGGGAGATTTCAGGGTTTGTAAGAATGTTTATTTCATTTAAGGGGGATTAACATTTTATCTCAAGTATTTAAAGACCTAGTCCCAACATCAAAACCTCCACATGGATGACTTTGTTGGTTTAGTTTGATTTTCTGCTATTTTCTTCATTACCTCAAAGGGCTCTTGAAGGGCTCAGTCTCTGCCAAGGCCATGCCATAAGTGAAGAATTATGCGTGCATCTGTATTGTAATTAGGATCAACTCCAAAATGGATGAATGTGTGTCTTTGGGCCAAATGTGTGGCAATAAGTCTCTGCAGTAATCGACGAAGTTAGAGAGGACGAAGTTAAAACTGACATGAATGCATACATAAAGGGATATTTGAAATGTGCATAGACCAAGTTAATATATCTACAGAGTACAACTTTTACAGGGGCTTAAATTATGCTGTTTTTTTGCTTTGGCTCAAGATGAATTTCTACACATAAAAGGCCTTCAGGTGTTTTGGTAACTTACTTTTGACCGAAATAGCAAAGGTAACAAAGGTTTAAGAGACCAGTGTGCTGTCATTTTAAAAATCCAGCAGCTTCTCTCAGTTAATTCAACATGGAGAATTCACATTCAACTATCTTGTGTAATAAGTTACTGAGCATGAGAAGTGTTGGCATGAAAGACAAGGATAGACTACTCATTCCCCTATTTTGTAATACACCCTCTTGTGCAAAGCCCTTAGAGGTGCTGTAAGGAAGAGAAGTCAAACATAGTGCACCATTTTCTAAGTATGATCCAAACTGTTTTCTACATTTGGTGAGTAAAAAGTGTACGATTCCTCTCCATGTGCTGATATGAATGGAGGTTTTCACCAGTTAAATCCAGTCTTTAATCTTTGCTGATCCTGAGTCAGTGTTTCTTCAGATGTGTCCAACATGAAGGAGCACTAGAGCCTGGAGAGAAGTGTAAGAAGGTGAGGACAGCGACACATTTGTCTGTGTTGTTATTCAGCTGTAAATTAGATATCGTCAGTTATTGTTGTAATGACACGACTCCGCCACATGGTGGTGCTGTACCTCCATGTTAACTTCATTTTTGTGTCATTCACAAGTAAAAAACAAGTCATTCATGGTTTATTTATCTTTATTGTGAACACTGGAGATGATACAATACAAATCATTTCAGTTAAAATACAGTATACAGTTTACAAGTTGACAATTCATTAATAACGTCTGATTTATACTGAAAATCTATTGCAAAATCTGTATATCAAGAGTTATTGTATAGTCATTTAGTTCAGCCGGGTGAATCTGTGTATTTCATTAATATTTGTAACATAAGCAGACAGCAGTATGAAACAATCTTTGTTAAAACATCTCACTAAAAACATTAAAATGCCTGTGAAACGCAGAGATAAAGAAAGGTCTGATAATAACTGTACAAAACCTTAGGAGGGAAAACAAGTAGAAATATGTTGAGACAAACTTCAAATTTCACACATTTCTGCTGTGTTAATGTTACTTTTATCCAGTTTGGACATTTTCATGCATGAAATGTAGCCTGAATAAAAAAAGATGTCTGCTGTAGGAGTTTTAAATAATAATACAATGTTATTAAGAGTTGAAAATGAACAGTTTATATACAAAAAGTGAAGAATAATACAAGCTGTCTCGACTCAAAGTCAAGCTTTTCTGGAGATTTCAACCCTCATTTCACAATCTTTATCTGAAGATGAAATCAATCATGTAATCAATTATGTACAAATGTTATACAGAGGACAGAGGAGAGGAGAGGACTAATACTGTAACAATTATTTAAATAACTTCTGGTTCCAAAGGCAAAAAATTAACTTTACTGGACATTCAACATTTATTTATTTTTGAATAACAGTGAAGACCATATTTCACAAACACGTTGTTACTGTATCTGTAATTTAAAAAAATGCTAAAAATGATCTCTACAACGAAACACACCTTTCCTTCTTTGGTGCCATAAATAAATATTTACGTATTTCTCCCAAAATCTGTCAAACACAGAGTAGAGTCAGACTCAAAGTCCACCTTCTACCTTTCCTGGAGATTTCCACCACATGTCTTCGTCTTCATCTGGAGATACGGCTATATATATAGAATTACATTCTTTGGGATATTAAATAAATAAGTAATGTAAGGTTGCTTTAACGCTTATTGAATTCATATTGTATGAACCCTTGTGTTGTGTTCGAAAGCTTTACCGTTCATGGTGTTCGCGGGTACATTTTGAACCATGATTTATCTCAGTCCAAAACACTCACAAATAATGACTATCATCCAATATTGTTTTAACTACATCATAACTAACTTATAATGCATTCATAACCGTACAATCCTGTTGTTATTTAATGTTATGGCCCCAAAACACATGACACCACATATTGCACACGTGCATGTGTGTGTTCAGGTTCAAGTGTTAGTGTACGTATTCTTTGAGAAAGGTGGGGTTCCCGTGGGGGGAGGGGGCCAGAGGGAGGGGAGACCAGCCTAACAGACGTCTATTATTATCTCCCTATTATTATCCATTCATTAAACCCCCTTCACTAAATCTTCACATATTGTCGTGGCCCAGTCCTTGCTCTTGAAAGGCCTCCAAAGACCACCAAAAAGCTGGTTTGTTCTACTGGTCTGTATAAAATGTGCTAAAGAATGCAATCGTTTTCCTCTAAGGCTTATTTTACAATAAAGCACGTTCTGTCTTCACTACCTCTCCATGAGTCACGGTGTTTTCTTGCTTATTTGCTGTGATGCCGAACTGCTCCTACCTGTGGTCACATGACTTCCTCCCCCTTGTTCTTCCATATTTCCCTTTTCTTCTAATGTCATGACATTTTCAGACCAATCAAAGCAAACCTCAGTGTTGATAAAGACGTGATTCAGGTTAAAATGTCCCTTCAAACTGTGCTTTACCGATTATAAACAGGGATTTCCCAGATGTTCCACACCCACACATCTTCAGGTTAAATCCCCCTGACCTCAGTCTCAGATCCCCCCCCCACACCTGCACACGTTTCAGATATCATTACAAATGTTTGGAGGAAGAAATGGTCTTACTTAAAGTGGACCTATCATGCTATATTATAATAATATAGTGTAGGACCATACCTATATAAGGCATATTTATACTTTTCAAAATACCAAACAGATCATGCATTTTAGCCATGCCTCATTTTGCTCAATTTGACATTTTTTAGCTCTGTTTTTGCAAGGGTTGATTCTGTGAGAACAGCACCATCTACAGGCCTGGCATATGTACTACAGCGAACAAATTATTGTTACAGTGGATGAAGGGGGTGGGGGAGGGGCGTCTAAAGTCAAAGATGAATCTTGATTGGGCCAAATTTGACCCAAAACAATTCTGCTGGCTCTCCCCAGACCCCAACACCAAAGTATACACTTTTTTTTTTAGAGACCTTCAGACTTGGCTCAAATGGTCACAATAAGGTTTGTAGTGTTTATATATCTGTTGTGGAGGATATCATGAAGCCTTGTTCCCATACAAAAAACTAGAGCGTAGTTATTATATCATTTGAACTTGAAATGGGTCACGGGAGACCCGAACACAACATAAGGGTTAACTCCACGTGCTGATGAAGACAGTGAGATGTGGTAGAAAGCTCCAGAACATAGTGGACTTATCGATATTGGCTGAAAATGATTCAACATTTCATTTGGGAAAAAAGGCTAGATTTCACAATCACAATGTTTTCTGTATTTTTTCGTTGAGTGCTAGAAATTGTTATTAAAATCGGACTCTGTGCTGACGATGTTCTGTTTTACATTTAAGATGATTTTATAATTACTATAGATTTCTTAATCTGAAATTGCTTCACATGACTTATTTCTAACATAGGATTCTGTGTATAAAAGGAGCTCAAATTATATTTCAAGCCAGTAAATGATAGCAATGGTCACAGGTACAAACTGTTATTATATGACATCCTGTACACAGCACATAGGGCCATTTGGCAGCTTACATTAGGTGCAATTTATCTGTACAAATGTGTTAATAAGATCTATTTATTTCTATATTTTAATGAGATTTATTTCTCTATATCTCTGTTTCAACATGACAGGCATTTACTAAACTACAAATCGTTCAGAGAACAAAATTACATTTAAAATATTTACATCAAACTCATGGTTAAAATGGATTGAAAGAGCTGTGAAGTAAACGTACAAACATAGCCTTTGATGTACAGTGTGTGTGTGTGTGTGTGTGTGTGTGTGTGTGTGTGTGTGTGTGTGTGTGTGTGTGTGTGTGTGTGTGTGTGTGTGTGTGTGTGTGTGTGTGTACATGCATGTGTGTGTGCAAGCATGTATATAGTAGTTATATTACATTCACAGTTGCAGAGGACAGGTGGGTTGGGAGCTTATTGATAGAAATGTTACAAACACTGAGAATGTCGTGGTAATTCCCAGACTAGAAGGTTAATTACTGCTCACACACACACACACACACACACACACACACACACACACACACACACACACACACACACACACACACACACACACACACGGAGGATGTGGTCTACGTGCGGCAGCAGCCGACGGTCCTCATTTCTTTGTCGACGTATTGCTGCAGCTGGAACTTCGACTCCTCGGGCTCCTTCATGGTCCGGTGCTTCAGCTCTCTGAAGAAAAGAGACATATTTTTATTATGTATTTATTTCAACAAGGACCATGCACACAAATAGATTAATCTCAGAAAAGAGAAGAGATGAATTATGCCAGATTTGAGCTAAGCGTGAGGCTGTGCTTATTCTTATACGATCTGACACTGAAACGCCTCCATTGGACTCCTTTGTTTACATCCGGCGCTTCTATTGGCTAGCGCTCCAACACATTGCACGTGATACCTGAACATCAGCAGGAGAGGACTCTTTAAAGTAGAGACACTACATACTGATATACACCTGGACATCAGCAGGAGAGGACTCTTTAAAGTAGAGACACTACATACTGATATACACCTGAACATCAGCAGGAGAGGACTCTTTAAAGTAGAGACACTACATACTGATATACACCTGAACATCAGCAGGAGAGGACTCTTTAAAGTAGAGACACTACATACTGATATACACCTGGACATCAGCAGGAGAGGACTCTTTAAAGTAGAGACACTACATACTGATATACACCTGGACATCAGCAGGAGAGGACTCTTTAAAGTAGAGACACTACATACTGATATACACCTGAACATCAGCAGGAGAGGACTCTTTAAAGTAGAGACACTACATACTGATATACACCTGAACATCAGCAGGAGAGGACTCTTTAAAGTAGAGACACTACATACTGATATACACCTGAACATCAGCAGGAGAGGACTCTTTAAAGTAGAGACACTAAATACTGATATACACCTGAACATCAGCAGGAGAGGACTCTTTAAAGTAGAGACTCTACATACTGATATACACCTGAACATCAGCAGGAGAGGACTCTTTAAAGTAGAGACACTAAATACTGATATACACCTGAACATGAGCAGGAGAGGACTCTTTAAAGTAGAGACACTACATACTGATATACACCTGAACATCAGCAGGAGAGGACTCTTTAAAGTAGAGACACTACATACTGATATACACCTGAACATCAGCAGGAGAGGACTCTTTAAAGTAGAGACACTACATACTGATATACACCTGAACATCAGCAGGAGAGGACTCTTTAAAGTAGAGACTCTACATACTGATATACACCTGAACATCAGCAGGAGAGGACTCTTTAAAGTAGAGACACTAAATACTGATATACACCTGAACATGAGCAGGAGAGGACTCTTTAAAGTAGAGACACTACATACTGATATACACCTGAACATCAGCAGGAGAGGACTCTTTAAAGTAGAGACACTACATACTGATATACACCTGAACATCAGCAGGAGAGGACTCTTTAAAGTAGAGACACTACATACTGATATACACCTGAACATCAGCAGGAGAGGACTCTTTAAAGTAGAGACACTACATACTGATATACACCTGAACATTTAGTATAATAGGACCCCTTTGAATCTTGAATCTTAAACTCTGCTAACACTAGATGGCGACAAAGGAGAGCAGTAATAAATTGCACAGGGTTTTCTTCCATAGAATATTACATTAACATTTAAAAGTTGGAGATTGCAGAACATTTAAAAAATCTGAGCTAAAGGTAAACACAATTTTGTACATTTGATCTGATCTCTTTTTCTCTTGCTCTCTCTCTCTCCTCTATCTATAAGCAGGACAACACTAAGTATGGTATATTTGTATAGATAAGACATGTGCATTTATGTCGTATATTACCCCATAGCCTGAATTTATGACTCAATATCACACAACCACTATTCAGATTAAGCACAGGACACACACATATGACCGTGTCCATGTCTTTACCTGTCCTGTTATGACTTAATCACTCAATACAATCAAATAAACTGAGCTAAAGGACAGAAATAAGATAAGTAATAATCTCATTTTCTGTGTCTGTGTGGTTTTGTGTGCCAGATTGTCGTGCTATTCTTAGCCTCATCCCATCATGCCATGCTGTTTCAATAACGAGGCTTTGAATGTAAAGCGACTCCCACACACACTGTCCAACGCTACACATCTCAGTGAGACAAACTCAAAATAGCATCCTCATTATTAAACAATATAAGACCAGTAGATGTTCTGCTTGATACTGATCTCATGTTAACAGCTGACTCTCTGCCTAAGTTTGACATTTGCTATCATCAAAACATGGCTGTAGGGAACAAATGTAAGTCACATGAACAAATTAATTGGAGACCGCAGACCTCCGGCAAGGTTGTTCCCATAATTGAAAAATAATTCATATATCGAGACTTTAATTAAATTGGTTCTTCCTTAGTCCATGCTACACCCTTTCACAACGTTTTATTATATTTTGGCCGTTAGTTTGTCCGTAATCTAGCCCACAAAACAACAAGTCTTACCTGAAAACATTCCCAGGCAGGAGGAGAGGACTCTTTAAAGTAGAGACACTACATACTGATATACACCTGAACATCAGCAGGAGAGGACTCTTTAAAGTAGAGACACTACATACTGATATACACCTGAACATCAGCAGGAGAGGACTCTTTAAAGTAGAGACACTACATACTGATATACACCTGAACATCAGCAGGAGAGGACTCTTTAAAGTAGAGACACTACATACTGATATACACCTGAACATCAGCAGGAGAGGACTCTTTAAAGTAGAGACACTACATACTGATATACACCTGAACATCAGCAGAAGAGGACTCTTTAAAGTAGAGACACTACATACTGATATACACCTGAACATCAGCAGGAGAGGACTCTTTAAAGTAGAGACACTACATACTGATATTCACCTGAACATCAGCAGGAGAGGACTCTTTAAAGTAGAGACACTAGATACTGATATACACCTGAACATCAGCAGGAGAGGACTCTTTAAAGTAGAGACACTACATACTGATATACACCTGATCATCAGCAGGAGAGGACTCTTTAAAGTAGAGACACTACATACTGATATACACCTGAACATCAGCAGGAGAGGACTCTTTAAAGTAGAGACACTACATACTGATATACACCTGAACATCAGCAGGAGAGGACTCTTTAAAGTAGAGACACTACATACTGATATACACCTGAACATCAGCAGGAGAGGACTCTTTAAAGTAGAGACACTACATACTGATATTCACCTGAACATCAGCAGGAGAGGACTCTTTAAAGTAGAGACACTAGATACTGATATTCACCTGAACATCAGCAGGAGAGGACTCTTTAAAGTAGAGACACTACCTTCCTGGCAGAGGTAATACCGTTTCTCTCTCCTATCATTACCAGACTTGTTTTTTGAAGATAAGAGACTCAGCTCTGTTGCTCTCAGCTTTTAAACTTGTTCACATGTGGAGGTGTTGCAAAGGTCCTCCACCTGCAGGTGCCCTCAATTATTCACCTGCTCTACCTCACGCTGTTTTTGAAACTGGATCTAAACAAACTGAAATAGCTTTACACTCAAATCTGATACCAGCGAACACATGTTAGCTGGTATCAGACCTCTGTATTCTGTGCTGATGGAGTTCATCGGCCTTAACTGTTATAGCTATGGAAGCCTATTTCCACAAGTAAAAGGAATACAAATACGATTTGAACTTGTGATATATAAGAAAGCTCATGTTAGTCATTATAATGACCAGCTTACTTGAAATGATGACTTAGTCATTTGAAAATAACAACAAACCTTGTCAGATAATGACCGAGTGTCTAAAAATAATGAATGAGTATCTCAAGATTTTCTAAAAATAATGATTTACTTAAGTAGAAAAACCAAATGTGTAACTCAAAATACTTATTAAGTCATTATTTTCAGATACTAAGGCAATATTTTAATATTCTTTCTTAGTCATTATTGTGAGAAAGTCTCTAATTTTCTTGTCTAATAAGTCCTTATTTTGAGATACTAAGTCATTATGTTATGAAAGTTATTTTTAGATAGTGGTCATTACACTCAAACATTAAGTCATTAGTTATTAGATAAGTTGAATGCGTAAACATTTCCAATATGAAGAATAAGTAACAACTTCTGGAACAAGTTGAATAACACGATGCTTGTTGCCGACACTTTATACTTCATGGAAAATAAAAACACTATTGAACTAAAGGAGACAGTTCCTCAAGGTCTTGAGAGTGTGTGTGCTCTGCCATTGTGTGTGTGTGTGTGTGTGTGTGTGTGTGTGTGTGTGTGTGTGTGTGTGTGTGTGACTCACTTGGCCACTGCAGTGAAGGCCAGCTCCACATTCAGTCCAGATCTAGCACTCGTCTCCATGAAGGGCACTCCAAACTCCTGCAGACACAAACACTTCTGTGATTAGGTGTGTGTGAGTGTGTGTGTGTGTTAAAGTAGGCGGAGAGAGATGAGAGAGCTGCTGATCAATACCAATAACTCCACATGTGTTTTGATAAGTGGCGAAACTTTCAAAAAGTAGTTTCTCCACACGTAACTTCTAAGAGTCAAAATGAACAGAGTCTGTAGTCGATGAAATATGCTCTGGGGTATAATAATCTCATTCTGTTGACGTGTGTGTGTGTGTGTGTGTGTGTGTGTGTGTGTGTGTGTGTGTGTGTGTGTGTGTGTGTGTGTGTGTGTGTGTGTGTGTGTGTGTGTGTGTCAATATCCTCTCTCTGCGTGTCTCTCTTACTTCACACAGCTGCAGCGCTTCTGTTCCTATTTACTCTAACACGCCTCTTAGAGCTTATCTGAGCGAATCGGCGTGGAAAATTAAGTTAGCAAGCCCCCCGTCATTATTCTGAACAACAACAACATGATGTGCCTCCATGAATACATAATTACACACTCATCAAGACACAGCGGCTACAGGGGGGAGTTTCAGGGTCCAGAGTGTCCTTTATCCTCCTAACGTGTGTCAGATTCAGTGTGTGTGTGTTAGTGTGTGTGTGTGTGTGTGTGTGTGTGTGTGTGTGTGTGTGTCTGTGTGTGTGTGTGTGTGTGTGTGTGTGTGTGTGTGTGTGTGTGGAGCTCACCTTGGCCAGTTTCTCCCCCTCCTCTCTCTTCACCATCCTGTCATGTGATGAGTCAACCTAGAATACATTGGATGCAAAAATAAAACGGTAAGAAACTGCCCATCCTGAGAGTGTGAGTGGAGAGCGAGTGGAGAGTGAGTGGAGAGTGAGTGGAGAGTGAGTGGAGAGAGAGTGGAGAGTGAGTGGAGAGTGAGTGGAGAGTGAGTGGAGAGTGAGTGGAGAGAGAGTGGAGTGTGAGTGGAGAGTGAGTGGAGTGTGAGTGGAGAGAGAGTGGAGTGTGAGTGGAGAGAGAGTGGAGAGTGAGTGGAGAGCGAGTGGAGAGTGAGTGGAGAGTGAGTGGAGAGTGAGTGGAGTGTGAGTGGAGAGAGAGTGGAGAGTGAGTGGAGAGTGAGTGGAGAGAGAGTGGAGTGAGTGGAGAGTGAGTGGAGAGTGAGTGGAGAGTGAGTGGAGAGTGAGTGGAGTGTGAGTGGAGAGTGAGTGGAGAGTGAGTGGAGAGTGAGTGGAGTTGTGCGTGAGAGAGTGAGAGTGAGTGGAGAGTGAGTGGAGAGAGAGTGGAGTGTGAGTGGAGAGTGAGTGGAGAGTGAGTGGAGAGAGAGTGGAGTGTGAGTGGAGAGAGAGTGGAGAGTGAGTGGAGAGCGAGTGGAGAGCGAGTGGAGAGCGAGTGGAGAGAGAGTGGAGAGCGAGTGGAGAGCGAGTGGAGCGAGTGGAGAGCGAGTGGAGAGGTGGAGAGAGTCGAGTGAGCGAGTGGAGAGCGAGTGAGAGCAGTGAGGAGGGGATGTGAGTGGAGAGCGAGGAGTGGAGTGGAGAGCGAGTGGAGAGCGAGTGGAGTGAGTGGAGAGTGAGTGGAGAGAGAGTGGAGTGTGAGTGGAGAGTGAGTGGAGAGTGAGTGGAGAGAGAGTGGAGTGTGAGTGGAGAGAGAGTGGAGAGTGAGTGGGAGAGCGAGTGGAGCGAGTGGAGAGCGAGTGGAGAGCGAGTGGAGTGAGTGGAGAGTGAGTGGAGTGTGAGTGGAGAGTGAGTGGAGAGTGAGTGGAGAGCGAGTGGAGAGCGAGTGGAGAGCGAGTGGAGAGCGAGTGGAGAGTGAGTGGAGAGTGAGTGGAGAGTGAGTGGAGAGTGAGTGGAGAGTGAGTGGAGAGTGAGTGGAGAGCGAGTGGAGAGCGAGTGGAGAGCGAGTGGAGAGCGAGTGGAGAGCGAGTGGAGAGTGAGTGGAGAGAGAGTGGAGAGTGAGTGGAGAGCGAGTGGAGAGTGAGTGGAGAGCGAGTGGAGAGCGAGTGGAGAGCGAGTGGAGAGCGAGTGGAGAGCGAGTGGAGAGCGAGTGGAGAGTGAGTGGAGAGTGAGTGGAGAGCGAGTGGAGAGTGAGTGGAGAGCGAGTGGAGAGCGAGTGGAGAGCGAGTGGAGAGCGAGTGGAGAGCGAGTGGAGAGCGAGTGGAGAGCGAGTGGAGAGCGAGTGGAGAGCGAGTGGAGAGTGAGTGGAGAGTGAGTGGAGAGCGAGTGGAGAGTGAGTGGAGAGTGAGTGGAGAGCGAGTGGAGAGTGAGTGGAGAGCGAGTGGGAGAGCGAGTGGAGAGCGAGTGGAGAGCGAGTGGAGAGTGAGTGGAGAGTGAGTGGAGAGTGAGTCGTCCATGTTTGACGTGTTCACGCACATCATCACTTTGTGTTGTCGTGTTGCTATCAGCTGAATTGGTAGAGAGTGAGAGAAAAGGAGAACTCTGTACTCGCACAGAAAGAGCCATAATAATAAGACAACAAAGCTAAATTAGCCTTCGTCACTTACACCATCCCTCCTCCTTTCCTTCTTTCCTTTCCTTCATGATCCCTCCCTCCACTTTCCCTCTTTCAATGACACCTCCTACCCTTCCCTCTGTTATGCCTCCTTCCCTTCCTCCTCCATGATCCCACCATGTTGCCTCCATTTCTCCTTCCCTTCATTCATGGTCCCTCCTTCCTTCTCTTCATCCATGATCCCTCCTTTCTTCCCTTCATCCATGATCCCTCCTTCCTTCTCTTCATCCATGATCCCTCCTTCCTTCCCTTCATCCATGATCCCTCCTTCCTTCTCTTCATCCATGATCCCTCATTCCTTCTCTTCATCCATGGTCCCTCCTTCCTTCTCTTCATCCATGATCCCTCCTTCCTTCTCTTCATCCATGGTCACTCCTTCCTTCTCTTCATCCATGATCCCTCCTTCCTTCTTTTCATCCATGATCCCTCCTTCCTTCCCTTCATCCATGATCCCTCCTTCCTTCTCTTCATCCATGATCCCTCCTTTCTTCTCTTCATCCATGATCCCTCCTTCCTTCCCTTCATCCATGATCCCTCCTTCCTTCTCTTCATCCATGATCCCTCCTTCCTTCCCTTCATCCATGGTCACTCCTTCCTTCTTTTCATCCATGATCCCTCCTTTCTTCCCTTCATCCATGATCCCTCCTTCCTTCTCTTCATCCATGGTCACTCCTTCCTTCTCTTCATCCATGATCCCTCCTTCCTTCTCTTCATCCATGATCCCTCCTTCCTTCCCTTCATCCATGATCCCTCCTTCCTTCCCTTCATCCATGATCCCTCCTTTCTTCCCTTCATCCATGATCCTTCCTTCCTTCCCTCCCTCATGATCCCTCCTTCCTTCCCTTCATTCATGGCCCCTTCCTCCATAATCTGTTCTTCTACAATACCTCCTTTCTTCCCTCTATGATCCCTCCTTCCTTCCCTCCCTCATGATCCCTCCTTCCTTCCCTTCATTCATGGCCCCTTCCTCCATAATCTGTTCTTCTACAATACCTCCTTTCTTCCCTCTATGATCCCTCCTTCCTTCCCTTCATTTATGATCCCTCCTTCCCTCACTCATGATCCCTTCTTCCCTTCCCTCAATGATCCCTCCTGGTAATCCTTGTAAATACTAGAAAAGTACAAATACCTGTCACATCTACTCAGTACGGTACTTGAGTAAATGAACTCTGTGACCTCCATTTCAGACACATATTTAACTCTGTCCTCACACTCCTTCCTCCACCAGACCTCCCTCCCTCCCTCCCTCCTCCCTCCATCTGTCCTTCCCTCTGTTGGCAGCTCTCACCTTGTTACCCAGCAGCATGATGACCACGTCCTGCTGAGCATACTCATGGATCTCCGTCAGCCAGGCCTGCAGACCAAAGAGAGAGAGAGAGAGAGAGAGAGATTTATAAAGGAGTCCAGACTGAGGAAAGGATAGAAGGAAACAGAGAAATCACTGCAGATAGAAAGCGCTGACAGAGGAGATGGATGGATCCACAGAGAAGGAGAACAGATTCATTTATTGTTCAGTAGCTGTGGTCCATCTCTTCCTCTCCTCTTCTATCATCCATCTTCATCCCATTACAGCAGAGTCTCTGTATTACCTGAGCAGATTTAAAAGTGCTTAATGCCTCTGGGGGGGGGGGGGGGGGCTTTAATACTCTGATACTCTCCTAACATGCTGCACATTTAAGAGTAGAGCAAGTCTTTTAATCAAGCTTGCCTTGAACATCCTCCTGGGTCATATCGTTTATTGTATTTAGTTTTATTTAATTACTTTTTTTAAATATGATTTATTATTATTTTGCATTTTTTTAATGTTTTTGTATGAATTTTTATTTATTTTATTGTATTTATTTTATGTTTTTGTATTATTATTATTATCATTTTTGTATTATTATTTTCTATTTTATTTATTTATTTAATTTAATTTGTATCTAATTTATTTATTATAACTTGTTTTATTTATTATATTCATTTTATTTGTATTTTTTTCATTTTATTTGTATTTCATTATTTTATCTTTAAAATTATATTATTTTAGTATTTTTTATATTATTATATTTTACATTCATGTTATCACTTTGTCAACTGGATTGTCTGTGTTGTGTTGTGTGTCGAAGATAGAAAAAAAACCATGTCAAATAAAATAAAATCCCTCTGAAACAGGATTTAATCCTCATGTATTTGTATGTCTCCACAGAATATGAACATGCAGTTTATTGAGCCTCGTGTTCGACCGTGTGTCAAAATTAAAAACGGTTAATTAATGCCGTCTGCAGTGAGTTCCATTCGAGCCGAGAAGCTGCAACACTTCCATGTTTCTAATTAGCCGGCATGATTATGGAAATCATTTCAGTTATGGTAATTACTGTCACATAACATGTGTGTGTGTGTGTGTGTGTGTGTGTGTGTGTGTGTGTGTGTGTGTGTGTGTGTGTGTGTTTGTGTTGTGTGTGTGGTGGTGTGTGGGTGTGTTGTGTGTGTGGTGTGTGTGTGTGTGTGTGTGTTTGTGTGTGTTAGTGTGTGTGTGTGTGTGTGTGTGTGTAGTGTGGTGAATGGTTAGTGGGTGTGTGTGTGGTGGTGTGTGTGGTGTGGTGTTGTGTGTGTGTGTGTGTGTTAGTGGTGTGTTAGTGGTGTGTGTGTGTGTGTGTGTGTGATGTGTTTGGTGTGGGTGTGTGTTGTTAGTGTGTGTTGTGTGTGTGTGTGTGTATATGTGTGTGTGTGTGTGGTGTGTGTGTGTGTTAGTGTGTGTGTGTGTGTGTGTGTGTGTGTTAGTGTGTGTGTGTGTGTGTGTGTGTTAGTGTGTGTGTTAGTGTTGGTGTTTTTGTTAGTGTGTGTGTGTGTGTGTTGTGTGTGTGTGTGTGTGTGTGTGTGTGTGTGTGTGTGTGTGTGTGTGTGTGTGTGTGTGTGTAGAAGTTCAAATTCTTTGGGCTGTAAAGTGAATTAATGAGCCACGAAGGATCACAGGATTGGTTTTAACTGTTTTCTTGTTTTATTCTCAGGATATCTTGAAGGACGAGGAGATGTTCTGCTGCTAAGCCTGGATAAGAGCGAGGAGGAGGAGAAGAAGAAGAAGGAGGAGGAGGTGTAATGAAATGGAGAGATTATGCAACAGTGACGTTTACAAAAAAAGGTTCAAGGTTGTGTCAGAGCAGCTCTGCTGTTGGAGGGAGGAGGACAGGAAGGTTAGGCGAATGGACATTTCATCAGAATTACAATTACATAAGAAGCTGGGGAAACAAAGATGTCCTTCACAAAAATGTATTCGATTTTCCTTGAGAACCTTGGATCACATCACCTTCAAGAAAAGCACACATTCATGCTATGAAAGTACTGCTTAATATGACCTTGTATGACAATATAAAAATACGTAAACTTAAAGGGGTTTAATTCTGCTAATTCAGTATGTATATCAGTATGTAGTGTCTCTACTTTAAAGAGTCCTCTCCTGCTGATGTTCAGGTGTATATCAGTATGAAGTGTCTCTACTTTAAAGAGTCCTCTCCTGCTGATGTTCAGGTGTATATCAGTATGTAGTGTCTCTACTTTAAAGAGTCCTCTCCTGCTGATGTTCAGGTGTATATCAGTATGTAGTGTCTCTACTTTAAAGAGTCCTCTCCTGCTGATGTTCAGGTGTATATCAGTATGTAGTGTCTCTACTTTAAAGAGTCCTCTCCTGCTGATGTTCAGGTGTATATCAGTATGTAGTGTCTCTACTTTAAAGAGTCCTCTCCTGCTGATGTTCAGGTGTATATCAGTATGTAGTGTCTCTACTTTAAAGAGTCCTCTCCTGCTGATGTTCAGGTGTATATCAGTATGTAGTGTCTCTACTTTAAAGAGTCCTCTCCTGCTGATGTTCAGGTGTATATCAGTATCTAGTGTCTCTACTTTAAAGAGTCCTCTCCTGCTGATGTTCAGGTGTATATCAGTATGTAGTGTCTCTACTTTAAAGAGTCCTCTCCTGCTGATGTGCAGGTGTATATCAGTATGTAATGTCTCTACTTTAAAGAGTCCTCTCCAGAGAAACCAGAGCCCAGTCTGCTCTGATTGGTTTGCCGGCCGGCTCTGTTGTGATTGATCAACCGCTTAAAGATGTCCCGCCCCTTAGCCTATCCTTTACAATGTGTTGAAGTGTTACATAGTGATGTCACTGTGTACAGGAACTTTGGGATTTCAGCCTTTGCAGACCGTTTACATGCACACAAACCTATATAACACACTATGGGGAAGGGAAAACCCCAAAAAGCAGAATAGGACCTCTTTAAAAGCACACAACCATGACATTCAGTCTCCAATCTTACTAAATATCAATCAAATCTTCACCAAACTTGTAAACCTGACTTCATGTCACAAAGCCATCACATGTTCATCGAGACAAACACGTGTCCGTACACACCGTACGACTTCTAATGCTCAGCGAGTCGTTTGAAGTTCGATCACTTCCAGCGAACAGTAGCTTCGTTCCTGCTTTCTCTTCCTCTTAATCCGCCCACTGAGATCTTTGAAGGCTGAATGAGTAATTGGCAGAGCTGTGGAGAGTCGGAGCGGCTATAGGTGAGGCTTCGATACATTAATCTCTGTGTAATGAAGTGATGTAATCCCCCATAGAGAGGTACTGTAAACCTGCAGATCTGAGTGGTATTCTTCAGATGATGCACTCAGAAGGAAATGTGTGTGTTCTGTGAGAGAGAGCTGACCTTTCCCTCACTGTTTCACTCGATAGCTATTAAATAAATGTACTGTGTCCAGTCAGAAAGGATCAATATTGATGCTCCACATGTTCTGTCAATACTTACTGGGTTCTTAAATATACCACATCAGTGCTTAAACTCATGTTGGGAACATTTGAACTAATTGAACTAATAAGGGACACGTGAATTGGGCTCAGAGTAAAACCAATGTGTTAAAAGACAGATGTGAAATGGTGAATATTAGGTTTAAAGTAAAGAAATCCTGTGATAAATACAAGGGCATTTGCTGAGTGCACACCTAGACCAAGGCTATTTCCACAAAGAAATAGTGTGTGTGTGTGTGTGTGTGTCTTGTTGTTCACATCCACTCATTGAATTGGTTCATCCTTGGCCCAAAATACGAAGTGTCTAAAGGAGATTTTGAAGTTGAAGATTTTCTCACGAAGGGAAACATTACAGTGGAAAATGAAGGGATTTCAAGCTTGATCACTCAGGTTAGCTTGAAAAATGATTATAGAATCTCTTCTTAACCCTCCTATTGCCTTCGTTCCCCCCCCCCCCCCCCCCCCCTTACTTTGGTGTTCGCGGTCAAATTTGACCGGTCCTGTTTAAACTGCTATTACATTAACACAAAAACCATTAATCATCACCAAATTTCATTTAACACCCTTTCAAACTGTACATATTGTATCAGACTACTGGTAGACATGAACAACTGCAGTACATATACAAAGAATAGACACTGAACATGTATTGCATGTGCCAGGTGTGATTCATGTGGGGGGATGGGCACATAAGAGCGGGACATGTGTCATATTGTTGTGTGTGTGTGTGTGTGTGTGTGTGTGTGTGTGTGTGTGTGTGTGTGTGTGTGTGTGTGTGTGTGTGTGTGTGTGTGTGTGTGTGTGTGTGTGTGTGTTTTATCTGATCCTGGATGGTTACTAATTCCTTTTCTTTATGGCGGTCATGTGACCGGGAACACCATGGGTGTTACAAAGTTGACTAAATCATCCAAAACTCAATGAAAGTGGTGATCAGCAATTGTATATGTTCAAAGGTCTACTGTGAAGGATATCATAAAGCCTTAATGCAATCGAATGTAAAACAAAAAAGTTATGATTGATGAAAGTAGTAAATCGGTCAGATTTGACCCGAAGACAACATGAGGATTAAATAGTTCATTACACATTTATTTAGTTCTTTATAACCCTCTTTCAGTAACCCTTACCTTTCAGATTTGTAAGGAATGCATTTAGAGATCCAAGTGTTCAATAACAGCTAGTCACATAAAGTGCCAAATGGCCCAAATGTTGCCTATATCTTACACTGAAATATGTAAGTCAATGACGGTACACAAAAGTTCAATGCCATCACAAACTATTGCAGATTTACACATTCCTTTTAACACCAAGGGGATCTTAAAGATGGTCTAGATAGAATAATGTCATTACAAATACAGTAGTCACTTTATTTCATCACTCGTACCCTACAAAAACAAGTCTTCAAAAAGCACCCAAACAACTTAGAAATGTGACAAGAAGAAAAGTTCTCACAACCCTTTTATAGACGGTGTTTCCAGAGGAATTTCACTTCCTAATTTGCATAGTTGATGCAGTGTGATATACCTTGTGGGTTTCATCAAAAAACACCCAAACCAGATAACAATCACAGCTAC